GAGAGAGAGAGAGAGAGAGAGAGAGAGAGAGAGAGAGAGAGAGAGAGAGAGAGAGAGAGAGAGAGAGAGAGAGAGAGAGAGAGAGAGAGAGAGAGAGAGAGAGCTATCGACGATAGTATCCCGCATCGGCACGACAGCCGCGGAACGACGCATTGAATGTAAACAAATTCAAACAAACGGAGCGGGAGAACCTTTATCCTTTGCTTTCCTCGAATTGAGTCTTTAGCAAAAATGGCCTTTGCCACAGAGAAAATCGACACCGTTGTAGTTAAGGAAAGTCTGGAGCGCTTGAGAGACGACGTAGCCATCGGGTTAGAGGATCTTACTCGAGAATTGGGGGAGAAAACGCGGGTGTTAGCCAGGGAACCCAGTTTACGCGACGATAAAGACTTGGATAATATGATGAAAAGAAAACTGCATCTCGAGAGTGAAATTGAAGCTACGATGGAGACGGACTTGGCATTTCTTCCAGATGACAAGAAAATGTTGATCAGGCTGGCAAGAGAAGAGGCAGAGTCAACGGCCCTGAATAATAAAAGGGCTCTGAATTTTTATCAGCAAAAGGTACAGCATTAGGTATTATTGGGATAGAGAATGTTTGTCATTTGATATATTGTAGACCATGCAAGATGTCTAGCTTATTCTCATCATTCTAGAAATTTTCCATTGCCTGAATGTCCTTTATATTTACTTATTGGAGGTAAGGTTGAGTGTTCAGAATGGAACTTCCTAAGAAAAAAGTAAACAGTACTGCCTTGTAAAAGGACGGGAATAACACAAACTACCTTTGAAATCAAGGTAATACTTTACAGTATGGACACAATTGCCAGAGACTATGTCCCCAACTCACAAAATTTAATAATCAATCTAAGCTGCCTTGACTGGGTGTGCCCTTCAGGCACTGCACGAGGGAGGGATGATGGAGAGCTCTGTTCCCCAACACCTCGTGGGAAACATTATCATTACGTCAGTTTGCACGGCTTAATTGTGCTAAAACTCGGGAGCACCGAGTGGACTTAGTCTGCAAGCAGAACTTTACATGCTTTTACCTTTACCTTTCTTTATATTTGGTGTTACCATTCATGTCTGCAGATTTCTTCTTGTACCAACAAAAAAAATGTTCTCCAGGTGCATCCATATACACATTTCAAGATCCACATGCACTAAATTTCTGAAGTTAAAGTAATTGCACATGTTCAAAAGGTTTTCTGTGGTTGTTAATTGGCGTTCTGTAGTACATGTTAGTTGTCATATAGCTTCTTAATTTGTTTTGTCCTTGGTATGTCTCTGCTATTTGTTGAGCTAATGATTCCTCAGTGTGTCTTGTGATTATCTCTCCAGGCTACAAAGTCATACTCTAAAGCCATATCACGTGCTTTTCATGAATTTCAAAGTTCCAATATCTAGTTGTTAAAAGGAGCCCAGTTTAGGCATTACATGTCATGGTAGCTTTTTAAGAACAAAATTGAAAATTGTTATCTAGCATTTATCATCTACATAAATGTCCTAAGACAACCAAATTAGCATTTTTACCATAAGGACAAAATACCACTGACTTGAAAGGAATTTCATTTTAGCTTGTTTTTATTGCATTGTTCAACATATCACATGCATATATTCATATATAATTTGCAATGCAAACTAGTCACATGCCAAATTATGTGCACATCTGTAGTGCACAAGTGCACAGTTTAGTTCAGCTAAACCACCTCACAGGCACAGCAAACTGGTGTATTTTAGCAAGATGTAGACCTCCATGGTAATTTACTGTCAAAGAATTTAACCAGGCACAGGATCTTTCTTGGCAAAACATATGTGGTGGAGGTTTGTTATCCTTTGAGGAAGCTATTTTATGGTCTGACACATTGCTATTTTAGAGTTACTGAGGTACACATTTGTGTCAGGATTTTGCTAAATTTTGAATTCTGTCATCAACCAGAAAATGAACTGTATTCACGATAATCTTAAATATATCACACAGTGGATTCACAAAGAATTTTTCAAATATTAAGAAATATATTGGTATCTATGATATTCAAGACAGGTTTGCCTAAAACTTTGAAAAAATATATTGGTAATGCACATTTAGTGTTAATGCTCCGAGTAGATTAAAAATTAACAGTATAATACAAGTGATCTTAATAAACATTCTCTTGATATTTATTACAGGTAAATATGAATTGGGAAAGACTAATCGTCTTTTAAAGAGAAAAAATTCTTTTCATATTTTTAGTACAGGAACAGTTATCAGTAATTTAAATTCATTTTTGAGGCATTAGATGATCTTCAAGTGAATAATTAACTCATTTTAGTTGAATTAGATAGAGATTGGTGTGGCCAATTAAAGAAAGTAGTCTACAATGATTCAATGTAGTTTTTTATGATGTATGGTTTTTAGGGTACTTTTTGTTTAACATTAATAATGTACGTTGCACATTAATAATGTTATTGTTTGTTATTTGGTAGATTTAACTACTGGCTGTAGATAAGTATTACCCTTTTATTTTCAGAAAAAAGAATTGCAAGAAGAGAAAAAAACATATGAAGAGATGGTCAACAAAGCAGTTAAGGTTAATGAAAAATTAGACGAATTACTCAAGGACAGATCAGAGTCAGCTCTCATAGACATTCTGAAGAAGAGGTATGTAATACATTTCCATTTTTCCTTGAAAGGATAAGGGATACAGGGTGATGAAGAGGGGAGAGAGGCAAGCAGGAAGTAATTTAGGGAAAAGAAATAAAATAATATTGATAATAATGGTAATGATAATGAAGTGAGGAGAAGGGTGAAAAGGAAGAAAGATTTAAAGAAAAAATTAAAAAGCTCTAATGATTGCATGGATGCTTCATCCATAGAGTCCTTTTTAAAATAAATCTGAATTGCCCAATGCAAACTGTATCTGTGGCCCAGTGTCATTTGTTTATTGGTTTGAAATCATACTCAAAAATAAACATTGGGAAAGTCCTGAATTGCAGTTTCCTTCTAGCTCATTCGTCACTGTCACTACAATAGTTTCACCATTGCAAATGAAGTAGATGTTTTCATTTAATGGCAGTAAATTGATGATCAGTTTCTTAAAATTAGCTCAGTCTACCCTAATAGATAGGTCTTGGCCAGAGGGTAAAAACTGTTTTAAAGTTAATAGGGTGGGAGGTAAATAAAGGTTGAAGAGGTATTTTTTGAAATTCGCATGTGAGGTGTAATAGGGCATGCAAGAAGAATGAGGGTAAGCAAGAAAAGAACAGCTTGACCTTATAGATGTACCGCCTGCTTATATATATACTTCAATTTCAGGTATGAAGAAACAGGAATATTATTTAGAGAGCTCCGGACAGTGCTTCACTTAATTTTGACAGAGTTCTACCCTGAAGAGGTAAGGGAGAACATTCTTATAAAACAAAAAACAATAATGATTTTGAAAAACATGACCAAAAGATAATTTTCATGTAATGATCTATATGCAGTATTAGATTATATATGTATATAAGATTTATTTAATCACATGATATATTTTTTTCTTCTTTCTTTCTAGGAAGAGGGATTGTCAATGGAAAATCTTCTGGAGGTTCTTGTTACCAAGATGATTGAAGATGGTAATGACCCTTATGTGAATATTCACGAAGGCATGAAGGATTATCACATTGCATTTTTACTTCGGGCAAACCTCATCATGAGGCATAAAAATGACGTTACTCGTATTAGGTTTGTTGATCCAAACTGATTGCCTGGACGCATTTGCTGTATAAGGTTAAGCCTCTATGTTTTAAATTACAATATATTGTTTGTTAATAACTGTAAAACAGGTTATTTTTTTTAGAGAATTTGAACTTTTTTTGAAAGTTGTGGAAGATACTTTATGCTACAAACAATATTCAGTTGATAGGTTTCTTTCTTTATCTGTGTGACTGATTTGCATTGTATATACAGTTCTGATAACTGAATTTCATTAAACTTTGAGCACTTAAAAAGTCTTTCATACTGTATATTGTTTACCTAAAAGGTATACTGGTGTTCAAAAAGGTATGGACATGTTCTTTATCTAGAGAAATTATAGTATATTTTAGGCAGGTGTGAAAGATTACGAGGTAATTAAAGGGATTATTTTTATTTGTTTTTTATTTATAACTTCCAGTGTTTTCTCTTCATAAATTCACTTCCATCTTTAAGATTTTTACAAAAGGCATTGTAAGACTATTGAAATTGAAACAAAGGATTTTGTTTTTTCCCTTTAACCAAAAAATGCTGTACATGACTCGTATGACTGCTATTCACTTTATTTTCCTCATAAAATGGTACACATTTCATATAAATGTTCATATCAACCCATGAACATTCTTCTCACTTACCTAAAGAAACAAATGAATGAAAAACAAGACAAACTTTGATTCATTTGACTCAAAATTAGTGGACATTTTGCCTATATACATACATGTAAATGTTTCATTCTTTAGGAAATGAAAATATATGACTGGGATAAATGAATGTATCTGTAGTAATAACAATATCTATCCATTTCATTCTAACAAATATACTTTTTTTTCTATTTAATTCAATACTATAGATTCCAAAATGAATGCTGCATATATTTGTACATATTTTACCTAAATATATATTTTCAGTATTTCTATTCATATAAAATATATAATTACTTCCCAAAAAAGTAATTTCATACAAATAAAACTTATTACCCTAACAATATTAGTAAATTTAGTATAAATCTACTGCTAATACTGATTCTTTATACTTATGGCCACATATATTTTACAGGTAAGAGATATAAACTGTTAAACAGTACCTTTGGGGAAAAAAAAGTTTAAAAACAAATATTTTACCTCAAAATGGAGAGCTAAATATACCTTATAAAAGAACAAAAAATTAGTCATATAAATCCTCTAATTGTTTACGCAATATCAGCTTTAAAACAGACACTTCTTTTCGGGAGTGAGGTGTGAGGGGGGCTAGTGAGGGACGTTCACAATTCCCGGCTATTTCGGTAAATGGTGATTTCTCTGCAGGGACATCATTTGTAGGAGGAATAAATTCTTCCTTTTCTTCTCTGGCTGATTGAACCGGCTCTTTTTTCGAAACAGGTGTTTGGAGAAAGCTGGAAAGAAAGAAGCAATACACAAAATTTTTATTTGTTCCATGCAAACATTTATGTATTTGTGTTAATAATACTGAATATATCCTGTTGACAAGATTCTTATAACTACTATTCCTAGAGGCACATTACAGGATAAAAGAGAAAGAGTCAAAGACCTGTAGTTTTCCAGTAAATACTTTATTTTTAATAGTTCCAACAAAATTGTGTTATTGCATTTTCTGAGTTTAAAGTAATTATTGAAAGACACACATTACATGAATCCATAAAACGTACTTTGAAAATGTGAATTATTAGTACTGAAACGTAATGTTACTTCAATATTTAAGTTGTTAACAGTCATATAAAGGGGGGGGATATACATATTTACATTTTGATACTTTGAGCTGCCAAAGGCTTGTGGAGCAAGTTTGTCCTAAAAAAAAAAAAAACATTCAGCTTAAAACTACATCCAGTTCTTCCACTCATAATTTAAGAAATATATATCTCTCACTTACCTGTTGTTACCCTTCAACGAATTCCAATGTGACAAACTGGCATTCAAGCTGTTGCACATTTGGATACTTGTGTCTGGTGTCCCATATTCTTCCTGCTGATCATCTGTCTCTCGTACTTCATAAAATATTGGCGTTTCACTGAACTGCACGCTCTTGTTGATTTGTGACTGGGAGCCCTGTTTTAGTACAATACTGTTAGGACAATAATTTCTCTAGTTTTTTATATGACAACCTGACAGATGATGTATGAATGGAATATGAAGGAAAAGGTTATACATATCAAGTTTTCAGGAAGATGAACTTTACTGAAAATCAATTCCATCATTTTCTTTCAGATAAATGTTACTCATCAATTTTTTAGAGTAAGACCCTTTTTTAAACTTTTACAACTGTTGTTTTGAGCTTATGGGAAAAAAAGGCAGACAAAAAAAAAAAAAAAGGCAAACAATATAAAACCAAAGAAATTACTTAAAAAAGAAAATTATTTTTAACTTACCATTTCCAAAGAGTCGTATTCCTTCTTTGTAGAATGAACAAATGTCTTTTTCTCTTGCAACATAGCCTTTAATCTTTTGAGAGGAGATATTGTGGCAGCAAAACTATCGAGCTGCAAGTAAAAATTCCAAATTATGTAGAAGGATGAGTAAGATTAGTTCCAAAAATATATATCTGTATAAGCAGGAGACTTTTTTTTCATTATTTGTTTCATAGAAAATATAATAATGATTGAATGATATTCAAATGGTTAATGATTAAAACAAATAAATGTGCAAGATATAAAAACTCATATAATACTATAGAAAAGTATTGTGGAAAAAAGAGTAAATTAAAATATGTCGGATACCAAAGGTTGTATGGCACTATAGGATGCTATGATAGTGAAAAGGGTAAAGAAGGAGAAATGAGGGTTATCTATCCATCTGAAGGAGACCAAGTTGTCAAAGGAAAAATCAGGGGATACAGTAAGGATGTCCATCAGGTTGGGGGAAAGCCGGGGACGAGGTATTGAGGAAAAGCAGAGTATGGGCGCAATAAAGTTGGGATTGGACTACAGAATGTGTGAGACTGGAAGAGGAACGCAGTGCAAAAAAGCTATTATAAAACAATCAATATGTAATCAGTGAGTGAGGAAGACAATAGGAATGAAGAATAGCAAAAAGGGAAGAGATAGAAAATGAAAAAGACTGTGTAAGAGGAGGAGATGGAGTGGAAGATGGTGGGAGAGAGGAAGGGATGTATTCTGAAGATTGAGTAATGGTCTGGGTAGTTGATTTGGATTGGATCACACTGACAGTAACCATCAAGGAGTGGGGAGCAGTGGCCCCAATCCCTGATTCAAAGGAGCGTCATGGGTTGGGAAACCAGATAAATTAATTTCAGATAGACTAGCTGATGAAGGGACAAGCCTCAATACCCATAAGGTTACTAAATCTGCATTAATGACCATGGTAAGCCTGAAATATGTGGGACAGAGAAACAGTCTCCTCTTCAGGGTCCTTATGAGGGGTATGGGTTAAACAATTAACCAAGGGAATACCATGCCTATGGTTCCCAGAGCCAGGCTTTCATTTTCAGCACAGCTTTTACACCTTAGAAAGTGGGGAAAGGAAGGGACTGGAGAAGAGCAGGAAAAGGAAAGGGGGAGATGACAACCATGCAAAATTGACTGAGCTGAGGGCTGAGGTCCAAGGTAAGGAGGGATCCTTAACACTGGGCCTCTTTCCCCATTTCCTATACCCTCCACTATAACAATGGGCATGGGATTCAAAACAAAATAAACCTTTCAAAATCTAACATACATATATAGGAAATCATGAATATCAATATACTTACAATACCATCTTCCCTCATTTTCTCCTGTCTCATTGCAGTTCTTTCTCTGATTAGCAGTGCCTCCTTTTCAATATCATCTTGTTCCTTGCTGAGTGTCTCAAGCTCATTCATCAATTTAGGGTCAAGGGATCTTCCATATGCATATCTTATTTGTGTGTTTGTTGAGGCATCACTTTTGACTGCTGCAGGGCTTGTTTGAACCTCAACAGTCTGGGAACTTGGCTCTGATGACACCACTACAGAGAATTTTAAATCTTTTGACCGTCTACGGATGTTTGGGGTGCGACCTTGAACTTTGGCCTTTGTATCCTTAAGTGCCTGTTTTTTCTGCACTGGTTTACCAATAACTGGCATAACACCAGCTGGATTACCTGCCTTGGAGCTCTTTGGTGCTGTTTTATAGGTAGGTGTTTTCAATTTGGCTACTTTGGTAACCGGTTTTTCTTCTATGTCTTTCACAATTTTTGACTGTTTTTCTGGTATATCACAACTATCATTTCTGTCTATCCCTTTGTTCAGAGTATCATTATAAGTTCTCTTACTGATTGTATTATGTTTTGTATTTTTCTCCAAAACCAGTTTTTCTTCATCTTGTGACCACTCGTTTTCCAAATCTCCCGCACACTTGAACTCATCTTGAGATGAAGTTTCTTCATTCGAATCTATTTTGTCTTGGTTAGTTATCTTTTGTTTTGTAAAGGGGTTTTGCCTCTTAAGGCCTATGTTGGAAATCTGCATAAGATTTTTCTTGATAACAGGTGGTTTGTTTTGTTTCATTTCTTCCTCTGTGCACTGAAGAATTGATGACCCTGTCTGGAAAAAAAAAAACATACACATATTTACTCTTTATCATTTTGTAAGTACAAAAAGACGTAAAAACAAAAAAAAAAAAAAGCAACATATTGTGTGGTTTACATAGAATAAAAGACAGGAACCTTATCTCAAATATTGACAACTTACAATCATGTTGGTTATATCCATCATATCCAGAGGTTCAGTATTATCTGAATCGTCACCTTCATCTCCACTCTCAAAAACTGTATGTGCGACGCATTCCTGCAATCAACAAAGAGACCATAGAGATTCCTAAATATGATAAGATGACTCATATGACACAAATAAAAAGGAAGTACAATTATCATTCTCTCTTTCAAGAAAATGAGAGGTTGATAAATATGGATAAATATTAGATATAAAGTAGTGATATCTGAAGATGACAAGGAGGTGCAATACTACAGTAACAAAATCAGGTAAATTTAGTTATCATAGAAAAAGACATTCACCACAGCTCTATGTAATACACTCTGGCCAAATCTTAAAGATGAAAGTCACTTCACAATCCAAATAGGTATTGTCTATGACTTAAATCTTGGTGACAACTCTTTTTCTAATGGTGGCATTAGAAAAAGTAAATGCTTTCCAAGAACAGATGATGTGAAAAAAAAATAAAATAAAATAAAAAATATAATAATATAATCTGATGGATCTTAAACCACTGATTAGTTTTCTTGTGCTCTTCTATTAACTTTCCTGAGTTCAATGATGAATAAAACTTCTTGAAAGCATGCTACTTTTTAAAAAGTCTTATTTTAGTATGAAAAAGAAAAGATAAAAAAAGAAACAAGATACCAAGAGAGATGAAAGACTTGACTTTAAAGAAATGCAACCAAATGAATCTTCAGGACTACAGCTTCCATGCCACTGGGAAACAGGATCACTTATACACACCTTGGATAGCTGCATGTTATCAGGTTTTTTTTCTACTTTCATTCCAGAACTTCGGGCTATCCCTTGCGGTCTTCTTTTTGAGGACATAAGGTGACCTGCAATGATATAAAACTTGATGTCTATATTAAAAGGACTAATACTTTTCACACTGTAATACATGGCTCTTTGACTATTGCCATATAAACAAGTTAGTCAAGCTCGCTTCACAACAAAAATATGTAATCAACTCCAGTAGCACCATTCAGTGAAGATACATATCCTCGGAAAGACTGACTGACTTTTCTAAATTCTATGGTAAAATTACTGATTACCATTAGTCGGAGCATGACACAAAAAAATTCAAGTTATAATTCAGTATATTACCTCTCCTCTGAGCAGAAACCTGAGTCAGCCTTAAAGGAGTCAGTCTCGTCCTCGGTGTAGCTTTGGGGTTGGATTTAAGGAGAGCGAGTTTCCTCTGTTCCCGTGCTTTTTCTATCAAGTGACGCATTTTTTCAAAAGCCTCTTTTTTTCCTGGAAAAAATGAGGAGTACAAGTATTAGAATAAGTAAATATTTGTGGACTCTTGATTTCTAAAGCCAAGCATTAGATTAAAGATTATATCGTTCTATTCTTTTAGGCCTCTATCTAAAGAGAAGTTCAAAGCATATATATGCACTGCTCTCTTTCACTCAAAAACAAAAGACATAATTGCATTCTGTGGAACTTACAGTACAACTTCAGAGACTAAACTATTTACGTAGTTCAAGTAACACTTATGGGGGCGAGGAAGAGAAAGAGAAAGAGAAAAAGGAAAAAAGAGAAAAGAAAAAGAAAAGAAAAAAAATCACATAATCATAAAAATTACCTCCAGAGAGAAAATGTTCCCCTTTGATGACCTTCCTGAATGGAAGCCATATGTGGAGATGGACCAGGTTTTGTGGCTGAGTTACTTGTAATCAATTTCAAATTTTTGCTGTATTGGGAAGTGGCTAATCTAAAAAAAGTCTGTTAAAAACTCTCTTTCTCTTCCCAGTATCCCAGGTTTTTCTTTAAAAATCCCTGTCTGTGTGTTTTTTGTCAAAATCAAAATCTAAATGTGACGAAGGCTTGTATTTCTCTGAAATAGTATCCATCTCCATGAGTCTTGCTGACCTTCTCCTTAAAAAAAATCTGTTATTCTTTTTCTACATTTGCCTGTTGAGATGAAAATTCCTCTTGCCCTTGTGGTAACTCTTCTATATTTTGCATTAATTGTTTAGATCTCCTCCTTAAGCTTGGTTGGAAAGAACAGGTCAAAGCTGAAGTACTTGGTGCAATGGCATTGTTGTCCAAGCTTGCATCTTCATGGGTACTTAATAGGCTAGACCTTCTTCTCTGACCTAGCCTTCTGAATGGATTATGAAAGCTTTGTTCATCCTTGCCATCATTCAGCATTGGCTCACCACCTCTCATTGAATTTGCTTCGTGGGAAATGTCTGCTTGTGCTGATCTGCGTCTTCTGAATGCCTTACGAAAATTTTGTTCATCCATGCCAACATTCAGTGATGGATCACCACCACTAACTGATTTTGACTCATGAGGAATGTCTGCCTGTACTGATCTGAGCCGTACCATATTGCTCATTGGCATTCTTGGCTGGTAGTTTCCATAGATTCCCTGCCCAGTCTCTCTCTGCTCCTCATTTTGTACATAATATTCCTCTTGCCCATTTGTAGGTTGTAACTCCCTCCATTTTACAGTTTTCTCAGTGCTTCTATTTTGTTTTAACAAGGGCTGTTGCGATCCATGACTTTGGTTATCCTGAAAAAAAAAAAAAAAAAAAAAAAAAAAAAAAAAAAAAAAAAAGTTAGTCCTGAATACGTGCAGTAAATGTATGATGCATTATTATCTTGTCAAATATATGATAAAATAATTAAGAAGTACTCAAACTACCAACTGGAATAGAACCAAGAATAATTCAACACTGATACTATCAACAATGAATTAAATGTAACAAAAATAATTAAAACTATCACTAAATCACAACTCAAAATACTCATAATCACAAATGCAGTACTCTTATACAATCTAAACTTTACTTACCTCTCTCAAAAAATCTTCTATGCTCATGTCATTCTCAGTCCTATGCCTTCGAAGTCTGAAAAGCACGGAGTACAAAGTACTATCAGTTATATATATTTTCTTTTTTTCTTTTTGGCTGATAGAAAGAACACATAACTAAAAGATTTTCACTGAGAATTTAACATTACATATTTTTGAAAAAGAGCAACATGAAAAGCAAAGTTCTTCTCTTCAATCATTATTTTTCATTATCAACTAAGAAAAGCAAATTCCTCCAACTTACAATGTTAAACTCCTCAGGGGTTTCAAACCTGACTGCATGTTCTCTTTTTCTGCTTCCATGGTGAAGAAAACAAGTTTCTTCTCCACAACCCCTTCCTCTGTAACCTGGAAATAATGCACTCTTTATATAAGAATGTCACCAAGGACAGTATACTTAACCCCTTGGATACGAGTGATGTGACCGCCATGTTACAAAAATTTTAGTTGAGGGATATGCTCCTATGAAAAAACTGGCTAAGGACGGGGATGATGGGAATATACAATCGTGAGAATTTTGACAGAATTCCAGGGTGACAGAAATTACTTGCCACAAGTGAACAAAGCTCTTGGAGGGTGGTTAAACTCACTGGGTATTTAGAAAGGGGCATGCATGCATGCATACATGTGAGTGTGTGAATGCATGGATGTTTGAGTGAGTGAGTGATCAAGCAAGCATGTATGGACATGTGTACTGTAGATGTGGAGATAGATGTTTGCATATATAAGGATAAGATATAGATGTTGATAAAGGTGGGAGAGTGGATATGGATGTGAATAAAGGTGTGGATATGGATGCATGCATGCAGTTTTATATACTATTAGTTTTGTTTTTCTTCTTGTTACTGTTTTTTAAATATTCATTACCAATGATTACAGAATACACTTAAATTTTCCCTAGGTTAAAATACTTTAGTAGAAGCAACATTTTGGTAGAAAAAGAAATTGATTTTAAAAATGTCATGGATAATCAAATATTGGTGTCACACATGTATTTATTATAAAAGAAATATCAGATACCAATGTATATGAAATTTTAAAGATTCTTGCTATCTACACCATCTCATTGGACCAAAACCTTGTTAATTAACAAGACTAAGTTCATATCAAGAGGTGTTATCTCTGAATTTCACACTCTAGCAAAGGCTAGCAAACCTCCCCACAAATATTCTTTCAGTAAAGAGCTTGGACTGGTTCCTTATTTGACAAAAACTTGCCAGTTAATTCTATAAGCTGTGTATCACTAGAATAGGCTCATATATGGTGAAGGTATGTATACTAATCTCAAAATACAAACAGCAGAGGACATGCATCTCTTATTATAATAATTAATTTCTTTGCCATGGGATTGTGGGCTTCCCTTTATTCAATATAATTCATTTTATAATGGTAAAGGTCTACAAGACACACTTGTCTGACATTGGCATATTCATAACACCTGCACCTCTAACAATTGGTCTGCAATTGTTCAGCATGTGGTCTACTGCGCATGGCAATCATAACAATGATCTCTGCAACTTTAAGGGCTCCTTTACACATCAAATCAGTCCAGTATGGTGATTGGCACACACTAGAAAAGTGCTGAAAAGTATGGTTAACCACCATTTAGCATGCAGGGTGCTTAAATGGGATTGGTTTCACCACTGCCATTGGCATATAATTCATCTTTAATGTTAAAGGTCTACAAGACACTCACTTGTCTGACATTGGCATATTCATAACACCTGCACCTCTAACAATTGGTCTGCAATTGTTCAGCATGTGGTCTACTGCGCATGGCAATCATAACATACAAATAGACAAGTGACAAATGCCTGTGCAATTGTGTGTATTTTGCTGTAGGGATGACATTGTAATAAATATTGTACTATCATGGTTAATTATTAAAGAAACAACTATAGCCAGAAATGTGTGCATGCAGCCTGTAGATTACCCTAAACAGTTATACAAGCAATGTTCATGATACTGTCAATCTTAACCCTTCTTTAAATATTCAATATCCTATATGTGATTATGTGTGTATGGGGTGTAGCAGGGGCCCATTTTGCTGGTCATCTTTGCATTCAGTTTCTGTACATTAGTAGCCATGAAGGATTGGAGATGCTGTGCCCCCATACCACGCTCTAAAACTGATAGTTTAAACGTGCCTTGACACTCCAGCAAGAGCCAACAGTTCTCCATGACCTAATTTCTTGCGAGATTGAACATGTCAACTTCCCTGGCAATTTTTCATCAAATATGTTCAAGCTCTCTCTTGCCAGGACATGTGTGGTGAAGGTATGTTATCGTTTGCAGTGTACACAAGATGCAGAGCCTATGGTAGTCACTTCAGATCTAAAACTATTCCTTTCATTCCAGACCATAGCAAGTTACAAGCGGAAAAAGTGCAATGAAAACCACTACAGATGTCTTGTACACATTAACCATTTGTTATATCTAATATTGTTTCATGTTTTCTTATAAAAACTCTTACGCTTACATTTAATCTTCACTAAATAAAATTCCTACTTATAATCACTACATCACAAAGAACTGTCATATACGAGTCGTAACTAGTTTAAGAAGCCATACCCTACTAACGCAGTCAAAATTAACGAAAAAATGTGATACAAAGAGAGCCTTGCGATATATTCTGAACACGTGAAAATTCAACCACGACGAAAATACGGAAAAGTTAGATCTTCAACTCGAGAGAACTTGTTTTTGCATACCAAGTCAAGTTTGAAAACAAGGACACATTCCATATCTCTATACGCAAAAATAATCAATATAAGTATTCCTGAGTATACTTTTATATAAGATTTAAGGTCAAATCATCAAGACGAGAGAGGAAAAAGGCAGACTAACACAGGAAACGGAGCTGACGTATTCCAAAGCTCGCGGGCTGTTTGGTTCTCAACGGGAAAGATGTAAACAAATAACGGCCAACGGGCGAGCATCTTTACATTTTCGTACAGGTGCCCATATTAAATTTTTCATCAGATTTTTAGTGCCTTGTTTCATTTATGAAGCATCTATTTATTTATGAGTATGATTTCAATATAGTATTTAGGTCTTAAATTAAAATGTACCAACAGTAGTTGAAAATAGAAAGTAGTTCTACCATTCAGCCAATTCAAAGAGAAGACATTGTCAATTAACTGATGATTGGCATTTATTTACTTGACATCATATTACGAACGAAGAAGGTTAAACAACATCAAAGTGGAACAATTCACAAAATGCAATGACCGTGTATCACCATAAATATTAGCATATTTTGTTCATATCTTTGAAGCTTTACATTAAGAAATCGCTATTCGAGCTCATCTCAGTCATCAGTTTTTTTTTAATAAAACCTCGAATAAATCCGACATTGCCAATATATGAACTATATAAAGCCATTTCATTAAAATTTGACGGTAAATATTATATAATAACATTTATAGCCCTAACTTCTCTATCTGATTCGAGTTGTTAAACAGGAAAACTGAAAAAAACGGTGACTTCCCGTTTTCTATGCTGAACCTGTATGAAGTTCTTTCAAAGATGTGCTGTATACTACGCATTTTAAAAATAAATGATCAAAACTTCCGCATCTATTTCTAGTTATGGAGATGAGTATTTTTTTATTCATAGTAATCCTCTCATAAGATCTTGGCAAAAAGCCAGTTAGATTTACAAAATTCATCCCAATATTATTACATTAAGGATCAACTGAAAATATTATTATGCAAGGTACAAAAACAAACGTTACGTGTTATATTTTATAACAAACG